CTGGCCAGTGGGAAGATGAGTACTTTAATTCAACGGAATACCACAATACCCTATTCTCACTCAAGGACCTATAAGAATAACGAAGACTATCAGACTGAGGCCACCATTGAAGTCTTTGAAGGAGAAGAGAAGACAGCTAAAAGAAACAGGCTACTGGGTCGGTTTATAGTACCAGGACTACCGCCCCGACCAAGGGGACAGGTTGAGATACCTGTGGCCTTCTCTCTTGACGTTAACGGGGTCCTTGAGGTGAGTGCTTACGTGAAGGGAGAACAAGGAACTAAGAAGAGTTTAGTGATAAAGAAAGACAAAGGTCTCCTCACTGAGGAGGAGATTAAGAAGAGAGGGAAGGAGTTACAGGACTGGGAGAGAAAGTGTCGTACTAATAAAATAAACTAATATTAATGACAAATAATTATTATTGCTTTCTATTATAATCGTTTAAATGTTTTAATAATTACTGAGTGCTATAGTATAATTAATAACAACAATAATGACAATAAAACTGAATTCAATGTAGTTAAGAGAGACAGATACTGATTAACATACAGAACAAATACATCATTGTATTTAGAAATGATGATGATGATTATTAGTTTGTGATTCAATGTGGTATCTCTTGAAATTTAGCCCAAACATTGTCAACAAAATCTAACAAAACAGACAAAATTCACAAACAGTATTTCATTCTCTCCCCACCAGCTAGTGAGGTCTCCCTCCCTCACCTTTGTAACTGATCTGGTTATCATTATCAATCTTACAAGTGTCTCTGATAAGTTTCTCCACTACATGAAACAAGAAGACATTAATCTCTCATTTTCTCTCTTATCTCACACTCTTCTTCTTGAAACCCCAGCTGTGCTTGTAACAGAAACCTCTTCAGCTGTTGTACTGGTATACTCCCATGCCCCTCCTGATCAAACACAGCAAATGCTCTCAGTACGTCAGTATGGCTGGGCCACTCTCTGCTCTCATGAGTGGAGGTTAACTGATCACAAGTCTCATCTATTATCGACTGGAGGTAACTCTTGTCCAGTTCATTA